ATCTTCAGGCTCCTCTTCTAATTCTAGTTCTCTTGCTATTTCCACCACATCTGCAGTGACTTCCTCCACGGAAGCCTGAAGCCCTCAAAGTCAATCACGAGGGCTGGCCTCAACTTCTTCCAAACTACTGTTAATGTTGCTATTTTGACCCCCTCCTATGAATCACAAATATTCTTACTGGGATCTAGAATGGTGAATTTTTTCCAGTTTTCAATTTACTTAGCCAATTAACTGGCTTGGGTGTCATTCTTAGATTTTGATGCATTTAAAGTGTTAGCCAAATATAAGATGATAAATATATTTTAAGAGAGCATTTCTTTTAGAATTACTTCACTAAAAGATTTTTTGTCAGAGGCCTCCACTGGGAATTTCTTGAAGGCTTTGTGTGACACACACACATTTGTGAAAACCTATGTGGACTATTGCCTGAGTTTATTCTTAGGCAACCTCAGTGTTCCAAAGATCTATAAATAAACCACAGACACAGAAAAAGAATCCATCAGAGAAATCACTATCTATGACAACAATAGTCTTACAAAATGTATTTTTTAAATAATAAGACTTGAAAATCAAAATGACTCCTTTATCCATGGGCTGCAGAACGGATGTTGTGTTAGCAGGCATGAAAGCAAGATTAATCTCCTTGTACATCACCATCAGAGCTCTTGAGTAACTAGGTGCATTGTCAAAAGCAGTAGTATTTTGAAAGGAATCTTTTTTTCTAAGCAGTAGGTCTCAACAGTGGGCTTAAAATATTCAGCAAACAATTCTGTAAACAGATGTGCTGTCATCCAGGCTTTCCTTTTCCACGTATAGGCCACAGGCAGAGTAGACTTAGCATAATTCTTAATGGCCCTGGGATTTTCAGAATGGCAAATAAGCATGGCTTCAACATGTCACCAGCTGCATTAGCCCCTAACAAGAAAGTCAGTTTGTCCTTTGAAGATTTGAAGCCAAGCATTGACTTTTCCTCACTAGCTATGAAAGTCTTAGATGGCATCTTCTTCCACTAGAAGGCTGTTTTGCCTACATGTTGTTTAATGTAGCCACCTTCATCAATTATCTTAGCTAGATCTTCCGGATAACTTGCTGCAGCTTCTACAGAAGTGCTTGCAGCTTCACTTTGCACTTTTATGTTATGGAGATGTCTTTTAACCTTAAACATCATGAACCTACCTCTGCTAGTTTCAAACTCTTCTTCTGCAGCTTTCTTATCTCTCCCAGCCTTCACAGAATTGAAGAGAGTTAGGGCCTTGCTCTGAATCAGGCTTTGGCTTAAGGCAAAGTTGTGGCTGGTTGGATTTTCTATCCAGACCACTAAAACTTTCTCCATATCAGCACTAAGACTGCTTCAGTTTCTTATCATTCATGTATTCAACAGAGCAGCACTTTTAATTTCCTTCAAGAACTTTCCCTTTGCATTTACAACTTTGCTAAATGTTTGGTGCAAGAGGCCTAGATTTTGGCTTATCTCAGCTTTTGACATGCCTTCCTCACTGCTTTGATCATTTCTAGCTTTTGATTTAAAGTGAGAGATGTGTGACTTTTCATTTCACTTGAACACTTAGAGGCCACTGTCGGGTTATTATAATAATTGGCCTAATTTCAATACTGTTGTGTCTCAGGGAATACAGAGGCCTGAGGAGAGGAAGAGAGATGGGGGAACAGCAGTCAGAAAACACACACCATTTACTGATTAAGTCCACCATTTTAAATAGGCATGGCTCATGGTGCCCCAAAGTGATTACAATGGGAACATCAAAGATCACTGATCCCAGATCACCATCACAGATGTAATAATAATAATAATAATAATTTAAAAAGTTTGAAATATTATGAGAATTAGCAAAACATGGCACAGAAACATGAAGTGAGCACATGCTGTTGATGGTTAGCATTTTTTTAGCAATAAAGTATTGTTAAATTAAAGTATATACATTTTTTTAGACACGATGCTATTTAATACTTAATAGACTACAGTATAGTATAAACATAACTTTTTCCTTTTTTAAAATCTCAATAGATTTAGAGCATACAAATGGTTTGTGTTACATGCGTGTATTGTATAGTGGTGAAGTCTGGCCTTTTAGTGTACCCATCACCTGAGAAGTATACATTGTACCCTACAGATAATTTCCCCTTTTCCCTTCTCTGTTCTGAGCTTCCAATGTCATGTATACTCCTCTCTTATAATCACGAGTACCCACAACTTAGATCCTTCTTTTAAATAAGAACATTGGTATTTTCTCACTTAATGGTTTTCCATTCCTGGGTTACTTCACTTAGGATAATGACCTCCAGTTCCATCCAAGTTGCTGCAAAAGACAGTATTTCATTCTTTTTTTTTGTAGCTGAGTAGTATTCTATGGTATATGTACACCACATTTTCTTTATCTACTCATTGGTTGATGAGCACTTAAATTGATTCCATATATTTGCAATTGTGAATTGTACTGCGATAAACATACAAGTGAGTGCAGGTGTCTTTTTGATATAATGACTCTTTTCCTTTGGGCAGATAACCAGTAGCGGGAAGGATGGATTGAATGGTAGGTCTACTTTTAGTTCTTTGAGGAATCTCCATCTTGTTTTCCATAGAGGTTGTGTTATTTTACATTCCCACCAACACTGTGTAAGTGTTCTCTTTTCACCACATCTGTGCCAACATCTATTGTTTTTTGACTTTTTCATAACAGCCATTCTGACAGGGGTAAGGTGATATCTCACATGGTTTTAATTTGCATTTCCCTCATGATTAGTGATGGTCAGCATTTTTTCATATGTTTTTTGGGCATGTGTATATCTTCTTTTGAAAAATCTTCATGTCTTTGTCCACTTTTTAATGGGGTTATTTGTTTTCTTCTTGTTGATTTGTTTGAGTTCCTTGTAGATTCTGGATATTAGTCCTTTGTCAGATGCATACGTTGTGAATATTTTCTCCCATTCTGTAGGTTGTCTATTTACTCTGTTGATCATTTCTTTTGCTGTGTAGAAACTTTTTCTTTAATTAAGTCCCATATATTTACTTTTGTTTTTGATGTATTTACTTTTAGGGTCTTAGTCATAAATTCTTTGTCTAGGCCAATGTTCAGAAGAGTTTTTCCTGGGTTTTATTCTAGAATTTTTATGGTTTCAGGTCTTACATGTAAGTCTTTAATCCATCTTGAGTTAATATCTGTGTATAGTGAGAGATAGGGATCCAGCTTCATTATTCTGCATATGGCTATCCAATTTCCCTAGCCCCATTTATTTAATAGGATATCCTTTCCCCAGTGTACATTTTTGTCTGTTATGTTGAAGATCAGTTGGTTGTAGGTATATGGCTTTATTTTTGGGTTCTCTATTCTGTTCCATTGATCTATATGTCTACTTTTATATCAGTATCATGCTTTTTTGGTTCTATAGGCTTGTAGTATAATTTGAAAAGAGGTAATATAATGCCTCCAGATTTGTTCTCTTTGCTTAGGATTGCTTTGGCTATTTCGACTCTTTTTTGGTTCCATATGAATTTTAGGATTATTCTTTGAAAAGTGATGTTGGTATTTTGATAGCAATTGTACTGAATCTCTAGATTGCTTTGGGCAGTATGGTCATTTTAATAACATTGATTCTTCCAATCCATGAGCATGGGATGTTTTTCCATTTGTCTGTGTCATTACTATTTCTTTAATCAGTATTTTGTAGTTCTCCTTGTAGAGATCTTTTACTTTCTCAGTTTATTCCTAGGTATTTTTTAAATTTTTGTATAACCATAACTTTTATATGCACTAGGAAACCAAAAAATTCATGTGACTCGCTTTGTTGTGATATCTGCTTTATTGTAGTGGTCTGGAATAGAACCTGCAATATATCGGAGGAATGCTTGTTTATAATAAAATGCTGGAGACCTTTTTAACATACACATTACACACATGCAAATAAATAGCCTCTACAAAATAAATTTGTAGAGGTTGGTCAAAAGGGCTCTGCATTTTAAATTTGATAGACATTAACTATTCCCTGAAAATGTTACACCAATTTATGTAAGAGAAAGTCTACCTGCTCTACATCTTTTGCAGTGTATTATATTTTTAATCCTTACTTAATATAATTTTCTCATTTTTTAAATCTTTTCTGTTGTAATAAAAGGACTCCATTTGGCTAATTATGAAGAAAGACTGGTACTACAATGTATAATTTCAATCTTATATCTAATTACTTTTATAGCCTCCAACTAACCTATGAGAAACTCATGAAATAGAGGCACCTATGAGGGTATTATTACCTAATATGATACTTCTATGTGTTTGATGCAATTGTTTCAATGAGATGGTCTGAAAAAACTACTTATTCCTATGTAGGTAATAATAAAAAAGGGAAATAAGTACATACTATGAATATATTCTTATGTAAAAATGTAAAAAATAGATTTGACATTATTTCAAGACTTTTCCATATCAAAAATCATAAAATGAGGAGCTGTCATCAGACTTTCAGACATCCTAGATAAACAATGACAATCACTTCTCAAGTTAGTTTACACACCAATAAATACATTCGAACAAAAATAAGATTTAATTACTAATGAAATGCTTCTACTAGCAACTCCATTTCTGGGAATTTCCCCTAAATTAATAATTTAAAGAGGAAAAGGAGATGTTTAAAGTAATGTTGTTTGTAATATAAAAAAAATAATACACTAGATGCCAATCAATTAGAAAATGGTGAATTAAAATATGGTATATTAACTAGAGAACATGCAAGTATTAAAAACTGTAAACATGATGTCTTTAGCCCTAAAAAAATACTGTTAATGTTTAAAAGCAGGATACAAGATTGTATGTATACTCTGTACCTGATTATAACTACTTTAAAATTACATAGGCAAGTGAAAATAAAAAATATATTAAAAATGAGTAATTTTCTCCTTCAAGTTCTAAGTTTTCTGTAATTTTTTAGAATGAAGTTCATAATTAGGTAATATATTCATAAATGTTACTTTATATTAAAAATATACTTACTGTGATAATGCCAATTAGTTGAGTATAAAAGAGTCCAGTTATTCCAACTAACATAGTAATGCCCATAAAGGCAGCTAGTCTCATTATGGCCAATTCATGTCTAACAAGAAAGAGGTCCTAGAAAGAAAAAGAAAAAGAAAATCTTAAAAACTATTTCAAGAGTTGCTTATAGTTGCAATAATAATCAAGAATTGATGTCGCTTCTGGCTCAAGGTAAAAGAAGCAAGAAAAAATAATAATAAAGAATTGAGCCATAACACATCTTCCTTATTATCTTAAAAGAACTACCTTAGCTTATTCTATTTAATCAATATATAAATATTTGAAAATTTCAAAAATTACTGTTTTTAATTTATAATAGCAAGCTAAAAAAATACACGATTTTACTACTCTCTGTATCAAAAAATCTCAATCCCAGGTTGCAAGTTAACCTTGTTTGTTTTTGAAACCTATTTTGGGCAAAACAAAATAAAACAAAACAAGAAAACTAAACAAAAAACGCAAGACAAAACAAAACACTTATAGTGTACAATCTTTGGTCTATCAAAGAAATTTTATTATTGTACTGCTAAAATGTTTGAATGCACAAGCATGATTTATATTATTAAAGTTCAAGAGATCAAGAGACCTAGAAATCATGTAACTTAGTCAAAATGAGGTGAAAACACATAATAGGATCACAAGGACAGCTCTCTTCATTCATTCATTCATCCAATCACCCAACCACCACTGCCAAGCACTGTGCTATGTAATAGAAATGTAAAAATGATAAAGATATGGTCCATGCCCCCAAGAAGTGTGCAAATTACTTACAGAGAGAGCTCAACTTTGCAAAACTCCAAAACAATGTGATAATATGCTAATAACAGGGAGGCATGCACAGGGTAGTATCGAAACATAAGGGAACACCGAGACAGGAGGAAGAAATGGAAATGCTGTGAGTATAAACTGACTTTCCGGCTCAGAGACTGAAAATGAGGGTCCTGAAAGTGAACCAAAGATACTGTGATAGAAGGACAGAAAACCAAGAAGCATTTCATTCACCCTTACTGTTACCAAATAGATCAGAGGACAGAGAGAGTCAAAAAAATAAGACTTCTCCTGGAAATCCATTGTTGTTAAGCTTTGGAATAAAGCAGCCACAGTGGATAAAAGCAACAAGCAAATGGAAAGGATCTCCAAAACACAACCACCCACATGCTTTCTTTTATACTGACTGACATTAAGGATTAAAGGTATCCTGATAGCAATACCAAAAATAGGGAGGTCATAATGATAATGTGCTTGCTTGAAACAAAAGAAAATGATGCTTTTCTGTGTGTGTATTACATTAAAACACCACCAGACTCAAGCAAAAATCTGATTCCACACCCAAATTACTTATTCATTAGCCTGGGAAAACTTAAAATTCACCAAGATAAGGTGTTATATAGCAGTCAAATATTAGGCAGTCATTTCGAAACTTCAGTAAAAAGAGCCTAATTCAGCATCCTTATAACACATACAAAAATCAAAAGGTAGGGCTGTGAATGGTATAAAAAACTAAGTTCTGCTATAATGCTGTTTGAAAACACAAATTTGTTCTAACATAATTGATACATTAAGCAACAATTTGAGCATAAGCAGTACTTTTGTTTCTTATGCATGATTCTGTCTGTGAAAAATCCTTGATGAACACAGATAATTGCACCCAGCTGAACCAAGACATGTAGGAATACACAAAACACACACCCTTCAAACATCTACTAGTCTCCTCAGTTTATCACGTGTTATGAGCCACACCCATCTACATCTGGTATTACAATTTTCCCTCCAATTTCAGAGACCCTCCTTCCATCACTTCAAAGTAACTCACACTCTGCAACCCTTCTGATGGTCTATTCCACAAGAAAACATTCAAGTCTCTTTCAAGGTGAAGTGCCATGTCTATTGTAGTGTGTATGTATTTCTTAACCATTTAACATGTATAAAAATGTGCTACTGTTTTTATTAGGTTCCTACCCTTTTAAGCGTCACTGACAAAGTTTTTGAGTGCTGTGCTCCCATTTGCCCATAAGCCCTGTACTTTTATTCCATGGTTTTACACTGTGAAGTGATTTTTAGGAATGCACATATTGCATTATAGCGGAGCTTACTGTACTAAAATTACCATCTATGACCAACTAAAATCCATCCTCTCTTCTCCCAGTGAAAAGATTTTTTAAAACTTTTTGGCCAACTACAATTTATAAATGTCAGGGATGGAAATGAGACTAAAAGATCTACTTATAATATTACATTTATTCATTGGGTTATACATTTATAGTTAAAGTATTTATGTAAAATACAGTAGTAAAAAACTTTAATCTAGAAATTGCTTTTTATCACTTTTACATTTTCAAAAAACAACTGTATTCCAAGTTCACACATGCATAATTAACATCATCAGCACTAAATCCATATTTTGAGTCACTTAACACTGTTCTCTAGAGTACATCTTTACTTCTGTCTTAGATTTTTTTTAGATTTAGCACTTTTTGAATCCAAAAATTGGCTTAGAGAATTTTATCCAAATCACAAGAACCCATTTGCTATTCCAGATCTTTACTACATAATCAGTATATGGGCTGAATTGCGTCCCCCCGTCCTGCCAAAGTTCACATATTGAAGCCCTAACCCCCATACCTCAGAATGTGATTGTATTTGGACATAGGGCCTTCAAAGCAGTGATTAAGTTTAAGTGCGGGTCTTAAGGTGGGCACTAACCTGATGTGATTGGTGTCCTCATAAGAGGAGGAAATTTAGACACATAAAGAGACACCAGGGATGCTCCCACACAGAGGAAAGACCATGTGCGGACAGTGAGAAGGTGGCTATCTGCAAGCCAAAGAGAGAGGCCTCAGGAGAAACCGAACCTGCTGACATGCTGATCTTGGACTTCTAGGCATAGAACTGTAAGAAAATGAATTTCTGTTGTTTAAGCCACCAGTATTTTGTCATGGCAGCCCTAGCAAACCAATATAATCAATAACCATATTTCTTTATTGTTTTCATTTCTTCCCACTTTCTGTTAAGAACTGTACTTATATTCAGATAAATGCGTAAAACATGTTCAATTTTAAGAAAAGTAACACTATCCTCTCAAGAATGAGAACGTCTGAAACCAAGCACAGCCTCCTGTGTATTCCTTCACCATCACAATCTCTCCCTCACCTCTATCCTAAAGGTAAAGGTTATTAATTCATTCTTCATACATTTTGGATACTACTATGTTTTAGCTGCATATTGCAAATACCTCCCCCCACTCTGAGACTACCTGTTCACTCTATTTATGCCATCTTTTGATAAACTCAAGGACTTAATTTTAATGTAGTCCAATTTATCAATCATTTCCTTTAGTGCTTTTTATATCCTGTTTAAGAAATCTTTCCTGACCCTGAAGTAACAATGATATTCTCCTATATTATCTTCTAAAGTCTCTAAAAGCTTTATAAGTTTTGCCTTTCCCATTTAGGTCAGAAATCCACCTAGATTTGATGTTTATTTTTTTGTATACGGTGAAAGACAGGGATCTGAATTTATTTTTACAATATGGATATTCGACCATTCCAGAATGATTTATTTGAAAAGCTGTCCTTTCCTCAGTGGTCAGAGCTCAAGTATCCATACATGCATGAATCAGATTTGGCTATCTAGTCTGTTCCCTGGGGATATCTGTTTATCCCTGTACCAGTGACACACGTCTCAGTTATTGTGGCTTTGTAATAAGTATCAATATCTGGTAGGCTAAGTCATCCCATCTTGTTCTTTTGCAAGAACGTCTTTGTTATTCTAGATAATTTGTATTTCCATAAAAATTTTAAAGTTATATTTTCAAGTTACAACACACACTGAGGCATACATTCCCATATAACATTCTTTTCACTAAGTTTCGAAAGTTTTCCCCTAGAAGTCTTGTACTTTTTTGGTCAAATTTGATTCAGAAATTTCCTGGGTTTTGATTCTATTATAAATGGCATTGCTATTAATTTCATTGTCTAAAGGTTTATTATATAAAAATAGAATTGATTTTTTAAAAATATTGTTTTGTAGTCACGCTTTTTAAACTTCCTTAAAAATCCAAAAGAATCTATGAATAAATTACTTACACAATTATATCACCTATTAGTAATGCTAGTTTTATTTCTTTCAGCAGTTGTACCTTTTCCTTCTCTTGGCTTACTGCATTGGCTTAAACTTCTAGCACTATGTTTAATAATAATAATGACAATGGGCATTGATGTGTGCGTTGTCCCCCGACTTGGAGGGAAAGAAATCAACATTTCATCTTAGCATGCTATAGCTGGTTGGTTTTGTGTGTTTTTTTTATTGGGCAGGGGGGACACGTTTATCTGATTAAGAAAGTTCTCCTCTAGTTCTAGTTTGCTAAGAGTTTATAACGTGAATGGATGCTGAATTTTGTCTTTGTCTTCATACATTGAGACGCGCATTTGAATTTTTTTTCTAATCTGTTAATGTAATCAAACATACTGACTGATTTTCTAATGCAAAAACAACCTTTCGTTCCTAGAATAAACTCATCTTGGTCAGGCTGGTTATATTTAATTTAATTTAACCAGATTCAGTTTGTTAGTATTTTGTTGAGGAGTTTTCATCTATGTTCATAATGATTTCTTTTTTTATTATCCTTGATAGGTTATGCATCCAAGATATGCTATTCACATAAAATGAGTTGAGGAGAGTTCCCTCTTTTTTCTATTTTTTGAAAGGCTTTGTGTAAAATTGAAATTATTGTTTCCTTTTGCATTTGATAGAGCTAGAACACACTAGTAAATCTGAAAATATTCCTTGCAGGAAAAGTTGTAACTACTCAATAATGATTATAGGACTACCCATGTTTCTGATTTCTTCTTAAAGCAATTTTCTTCTTGAAGCTTTTGTTTGAAGATTAGGAAACTAAATAAAACAAAGATGTCAACTATCCAAACTGACCCATGGAATTGATACAATCCTAATAAAAGATCCTCTACCAGGAGAGTACATATTCTACTGGTGGGAGTTTTTTGCTTTGTTTTGGTTTGTAGAAAGTGATAAGCTGTTTTTATGTTTCATAGGAAAAAGCAAAGAATAACATAACA